TGAGGCCTTTATTAGAAACACTGGTTGTAAAAATGTTTCCCAGCTTTCTACTTTCTTTCTAATCTTGGTTGCATTGGTTTTGTTTGTGCAAAGACTTTTTTAACTTAATGTAATCAAGTGATACATTTTGCATTTCATAATGTTCCTATTTCTCGTGTTTGGTCATAAATTCTTCCATTCTCCATAGATTTGACAGGTAAACTATCCCTTGTTTTCCTAATTTGCTTATTGTATCACCCTTAATGTCTAAATCATGTGCGCATTTTGACCTTATCTTGGCATAGGGTGAGATATTGGTCTATGCCTATTTTCTGCCATACTATTTTCCTCTTTTCCCAGCAGATTTTGTCAAATAATGAGTTCTTATCCCAGAAGCTGGAGTCTTTGGGTTTATCAAACAGCAGATTACTACAGTCATTGACTACTGTCTTATGTACCTAACCTATTCCACTGAGCCACCACTCTATTTCTTAGCTAGTACCAAATAGTTTTGATGATTGCCCCTTTATAATATAGTTTTAGATCTCGTATGGCTAGACCACCTTCCTTTGCATTGTTTTCGCTGATTCTCTTGATATTCTTGACCTTTTGTTCTTCCAGACGAATTTTGTTATTATTTTTTCTTAGTCTATAAAATAACTTTTGGTAGTTTGATTAGTATGGCACTGAATAAGTAAATTAATTTAAGTAGAACTGTCATTTTTTAAATATTAATTCAGCCTACCCATGAGCAACTGATATTTTTTTCAATTGTTTAGATCTAACTTTATTTGTGTGAAAAGTATTTTGTAATTGTGTTCATATAGCTCCTGGGTTTGTCTTGGAAGTTAGACTCCTGAATATTTTATACTGTCTACAAGAATCATTATTTCTGATTTAATAGAATTGATTTGACCATGGTTCCTGACCTAAAGAGGGAGTACTAAGACAGAAAGAGTAGACTAGGTGAGCAATCAGGACCACAGACGCCACAATAGAAGTTCTAAATATAAAAGGCTTAGAACCTCTGGAGCATGGTTGCTGTTCCACAGAGTAAAACTGTTGGCAAAACTGTCAAGAAAATGGCTGAAAAGTGGGGGGGAACTTCTTAAAATGCCTACTATGTGCCAGTGAGTATTCTAGTTGTAGAGGATACTAACACAAAAAATGTGGCAGTACCATGAACATGCAGAATCCTACCATAAATATCCTAGAATAGCTTTTAACAAGGAATTCTTCTATAAAACCAATAATCCTCCAGGGCAGTTATGCTTCATTTTAAGATAACTTGACATATGAAAATACAGATTTCCACAGATAAATCTAGGGGTTATTACTTGCTTTAGGAGAAGATTCAACAGAGGATTCATTGAGATAGCCTACCCATCTGCTACATTTCAAATAAACCAAATGACAACATTTCTATATGCACATCATTTTTCCCCCAGAAAGATATTTTGCTCTTTGCAGTAAGTATACCCTGCTGTGCAAATAACTACCTCCTAATTTATCTGTTCTGTAGTTCAGATCTCTGTGCACCAGCCATTTTTATTTGGCCAAAAACAAGTTGCTAACTATATATTATAGATAATTGGCTCCCATTCAATCAAGCTCTAATCTGCTTTGTCATTCAAATGGCCAGCAGGGACTATATTGTCAGGTTAGCCCACCAGCCACCCCATGCACAACAGCTTCTGATGACTCAGGAAGGAGTCTCCATGCTTGAGTAGTATGCATCCAGCCACATCGGTTACCTAGCAACTGAACATTGCATGAAATGGGTAGCAATTATATAAGTTCACCACTACTTAGCTGACCAAGACTTCACACAGCTCTATAAGGTAAAGAGCTCCAGTTCTTGGTGGAACACAGCCCAAGTGCCTGTAACATCACTGTTATCAGCCCACTCAAATATCCCAAATATTCCCATCTTGTCAAGACAAAAACCAAGAAGGAGAGGTGAAGCATGAGCCCAAGTCTCCAGAGTTAGGGTCAAATACTCCCTCTAGGGCTGGACTAGATCAGCAATCAATCAATCAATATTATTCCATGCCTAGCGAGTGCAGGGCACTGTGCTCACCTTCTAAGAAGTTGAATTTGTTTGGCTACTGAGAATAGAACTCCAAGAGGTGGTTCAAAGTCATGACGAGTCAGAATTAGACTTGATAGAAAGACTCAACGGCCTCATATTTAGAGATGTTATAGAATGGAATGGGATGTCTTGGAAGCTAGTCAGCTGCCCCTCCCTATGGGGCTTCAAGCAAAGGCTGGATGACCAGTTCTCCAGCACGACATAGAGTGGATTCTCCTTTGGGCTTGGCTGGGACAAAATGGACTGGGAGATGCCTTCCAACTCAGACTCCATTACCTACAAGACTAACTTCTAGTCACTGACCAAAAATGGCACCACTCTGAGGATGCCATACCAATATAAAACAGAGCATAGACATAGTGGATAGAGGGCCAGCCTTGGATCAGGAAGTCCTGCCTTGCAATAATCTGTGGCTTTGGGAAAGTCACCTAACGTCTGAGCACCCTGAGCTATTTCCGAAGACTACAATTTACAGATGAGTTGCCATTCAGCAATAGCAGGGGTTTCCACAGTTGTAGTACAAGATATCAATTAACAATAATTCAGTAAGTGCTCAGCATGGGCCAGGCACTGCACTAGACTCTGAGGCACAAAGAAATTCAGAAACACAATCCCCGACCTCAAGGAGCATGCATTTCGTCGAGTGAGAGCGGGAACCCAAGAGGGGAAAGGGAATTTGCAGCAGATGCTGTGAAGAGCTCCCGGGATCAGATTAAGAGCTGGCAGCAGGGAATGGAGGTCATGTAGCACTCATTTTGAAAGATAAGGAACTTGAAGCCCAGAGATGTGTAGTGACTTATCCAACAACACACAGAGTTGGGCCTACATTTGAACCCAAATTCTCTGGTTCCAAAGTCAGCCCTCTTTCTTTCATATAACAACACTCATTCAAAGCCTTGGGTTTCTTAATTCAAATTGGACTAACTTTGAACAACCCTTCAATTGGGTTGCCTTTTTCTTTTAAAGAAAGGGTGACATATTTTTCTTGAAATCAGCACCATCTGGTTGTACCCACAAGAAAAACAACTATTTAAGCTGGTTCATTTCCAGCGTTTTCCAAAAAATTAGGTTCTTAAGAGTGTCAGATTCATGTATTTTGCAGAACATTTGAAGTGCACATGCTAAAATTAGGCCAGGTTCCACTGGGAGTCATTTCAATCAACAGGAGGAAGGATTTTAGGCATCAAATGGAATCCTAGTCATTCAAGATTTTTTTTAATGGGACGCCATGTCAGAACCCACATAGGAAATGCTGTTTCGTTTCCCTACTCAAGGAAAGGACAGCAATTTCTCAAAATCACCACAGAAAAGTGGCTTCCAGAAGCTTCTATTGTAATGTCAGTCCATTTTCTTTTAGCAGCACAGGTGAAAATCACCAGGCGTAAATTGGAACAACAATCATAATCACTTCCATTTTTTTTCCCCGAAGATGTATATTTTCCTCCATTTTCTATTAGATGAGTTGGACTTTCACTTTTCAGGAGAAAATAATGAAAGCTGAGAACTGCAAACTTAAAAGAAGATATGGACAAGAGTTACACAAGTTGGGGACACAGGCATCGATGGGTGCAATTAGCCTCATTGGAGGGGATGACCACATCAGTGAACTCACAGATTTATCAGAGTGTAGATAAAATATGAATTTAAGTTCCTCAAAGGAATCAAGTAATGGGAGCTCTGTCAGTATCTCAAGTTTAAATTATATTTCTAAGTGACACAACTTGCTCTGAACAGAAGGCCATGGTGTGGATGTTTTTCTGCTAAGACTGCTTACAAAACGTGTGTAGATTCTGCCGCAGGCCATCACCAAATCCATTTTTCCGGACTTGATTATTTAACAGCTTAAAACTCTGTAGTAGATGGCAGCCTTCATTCTCCTTGAAAACCTGCTTTGGCAGTAATTAGAGTCAATGAGAGCTGAGCAAGCCTCAAAGGGCTTTCAAAATCTAAAATCAGATTTCATTTGTCATGAAGAAATACCACAATAAGTAATTTACAAACAACAGAAATAGTCAAATTATAGAATCCAAGTTAGACAATGAGAAAATAAGGGATTCCCCAAAGACTAGAGCTCAGAGGCTTCCTGCCATCTGACTCAATTATCCTTTGGAGGATGGGGCACTAGGAATGTGTTGGTACCTAGTCACCTCCAGTGAGATGCTGCTGTTCAGCCGCAGGGGGTGCTGAACCTATCTCCCTCTGTTCTAAGTGGGGCACTTCAATCCTGACACTAAATGATTCCACAGGATTTGGAAATCTACTGAAGTGATTTCCAGTTGGACCATCCAAGTGTCCTCATCATATAAGAAGTCATGGCCCCACTTACAAAATCTCAGAGCTGCTAGGGACTTCAGAATCCATCTGGTTCAACCATAACCTGAATAGAAATGTCTTCTACAGCATCCACCTTCATCATCCAGCCTTCACTGGAAGGTTTCTAACAAGAAAGAAGCTGCCACCCCCAAAGGAATCCTGGCTGCCCTCTGGGACAACTCTAAGTCTCTGGCTACATCTCCTGACAACAAGCCCTTCATCACATCTTCATCCATTGTTCCTTGTCCTGCCCTGTGACACCTAATACAATAAGTCTGATCCTTCATTGGTGTTCTAGTCCTTCAAATGACTTCAAGACAATTATGTGGCCCCTCCTTCTTCTCTCCAGGCAAACCATCATCAGTTCCTTCAACCAGGCTCATACAGAAAAATCATTCATTGAGTCTCTTAATCTTCTCTGTTGGAGCACAAGGATCCATTTTCCTTCAAAACTTCACAGATTTTTTTCAGAAATAACCATCACCTCTTCTATAGAGGCAAGAGTGCAAGAGTTTAATCAACTCTGTTGGACTGGCTCATACAATGCCACTAAATGGTCAACATCCCCCTACAGGGAAATATGAAACAAGCCTCAGTCGTAGGGCTGTGACCTTACCTTATAGACTTGGCCATAGGTTCCATTCCCAACAAGCTCCACCAATTCAAAGATCCCTGCAGGGTCCTGGAAAAATGAAAAAACAAAAATGGAATCTATTACTAATGAATTCTTTTCATCCAAGAAGCATTTTGTTTCAAGCGGGGGAGGGTGTTGGGGCTGTCCAGCATCTCAACAAGTGAAATTTGCAGAACCCATAAATGTTGGTGTTAAATCAAAAGCTGGTATCAAACCAGGAGAGCCAGGCATTAAATTGGCTAAGATTTACTTTATTATTTCTATTTTATATTCCGAGTATATCAATTCAAATCCTAGGAAATAAGATGTACCTGTAAGTGAAATTCAGAATGATGATGATGATCATAACAATAATTACAACAACTAATATTTATAAAGCACTTGAAGGTTTGGAGAGTACGTATTATTTCTTTGATCCTCCAATCAACCCATATAGGTGCTACTATCATCCCAATTTTACAAATAAGAAAACTGAGGATGAGAGAGGCCCAGGGTCACACAACTGGTTGCTGAGGCAGGATTTGAACCTAGATCTTCCTGACTCCAAGTTCAACATTCTATCTACTGAGCAAGGATTAAGGTGTTTCTCAAGAATGGGCCTCACATTCTGTAACACTAATATAACTGGGGTGGGAGGAGGTGGGGGAAACGAGGCATCTCAAAGTTGACATTGATTATTTACAGACTTCTCTTTGTGACTCCCTGAGCTATTTATTCTATTTGTTCTGGCTACTGCTGAGTTATACTCACAGAAGAATCAATTCTGTGCTCTGTTAACAGTTACCAACAAAGATTGAAACCAACATTCTGCAAAGGCTGGGTGACCAATTCAATGAGCATTTATTAGCGCACCAGGTACTGGGAAAGACAAAAACCAAACAGGCCCCGCCCTCAAGGAGCTTACATTCTATCTGGGGGCTACACCATGTGCACATAATCATAGATACAAAGCAATTAGGAAGTTTGGTCTGGACCTGTTATACAGAGCAATGTCAAGAAGGACAGAGTACTGACAACTTGAGGAGGGGGTAGGAGATCAGGAAAGGTCTCATATAAGAGGAAGTTTTGCTTTGAAGGAAACTGAAGATTCTACAAAGCAGAGGAAAGGAAGAAAATATTCCAGGTATTGAAGACTACCTGTGCCAAGGTACGGCAACAGGAAAAGGGACACTATGTACGAAGGACCCTTGTTGGGGAGGTTACAGAAGGGATTCACAGTCAAGTTGTATGTGGACTGTTGTTCAGTTGCTTTCAGTTATGTCCAAATCTTCATGACTCCATTTGTGGTTTTTTTGGCAGAGATACTGGAGTGGTTTGCCATTTCCTTCTTCACCTCATTTTACAGATGAGGAAACTGAGGCCACCCGGGTTAGGTGACTTGCCCAGGGTCACACAGCTAGTAAGTGGCTGAGGCTGGATTTGAATTCAGGTTTTCCTGTCTCCAGGGCCAGTGCTCTATCCTCTAGATGGCCTTTAAAGTCCATTCTAGCTCTTATATTCTGTGATTCTATAAATACATTTACCTTTATTTATTTAAAAGTTCTATTCCTTACACCATTCATATTTCACTATAAAGAAAAGCATCTCTGAATTGAGCATATTAGGCAAGAGACGTTCCTACTCTTTACCTCCTCAATCTGATCTTTTCCTTCCGCTTTCTCTGGCTTCTCAGGACCGTGCTCCAGCAATCGCTTCCCTTTCCTTCCCTCCCCTTCCCTCCCCTCCTTTACTCTCCTCTCCTCTTCTCTCTCTCCCTTTCTCCCTCTCTCATAGCCTTAATCTTTCCCACTCATATGGCTCCTTCCAATGTTTTCAAAGATGTTCAGCTCCCCTTTAATCCTTGGGGAGAAGGGGGAAGGAGAAATGGAGGGGTTAGGGTTTGAAACGTTGCCCCTCTGTACGTAATTAACGCACCACCCCTCCCATTTCTCTCCTTTCTGTTACTGCCAAACTTCTATAAATGATTGTGTATGTTCAATGATTCCCCATCCTTGGCAGCTACTCACACCCCAATTCTGCAATCTGGCTTCCATCCCTACCACTCAACTGCATCTGCTCTCTTAAAAGGTCACCACACACCTCCTTATCACGAAAATCCAGTGGCTTTTTCTCAGGCCTCCTCCTCCTCCTTTGTCTCTTTGCAGCTCTAGACCTCAAAGGTCACCCTCTCCAGTCTCTGACTTCAGAGAATCTGCCCTATTCCTCTTACCCCTTCCTCCATCTCCTTTTCTGGAGAGCCTCTCTTCTTTCTCCCTAACCCCTTACTGTTGGTATTGCCCAAGTCTTCATCCTCGGGTCTCTTCTCTTTCTCCAACATCATCTTTAATCCAATTTCTAAGAACTATAGGCTGATGTCAACATGACTGCATCCTTGCTCTCTGCATATTCATGGAAAATCTGAAAGAAGCCTTAGTCGTCTTTCCATGACCTTACCTCATAGACTTGTTTGTAAGCTTGCCTGCCTTATTTGGCACAGCTAACATCAAAAGAAGGATTTGAACCCAGGTCTCTCCTGAAACCAACTCCACTTCTCTCTCCACTATCCCACGTGGACTCAGAAAAAGGCAAGTTAGAATTTTTCATAATCGTTTTGCTCAAGAAGGAAAACAGAGGGAAAGACATTTCTATGCCAGAGCAACATAGATTTAGAGCAGTGATCTAGTCAGATTAGAATCATGGCTTGAGAGTAGGAAGGGATCTCTAAAGCCATCTAGTACAACCCACTCATACTACAGATGGAGAACCTGAAGCCCCCAGAGTGGTCTTGGGCTCATAGAATCAAAGATTTGAACCTAGAACAAACTCCCAAAGCCAACCTGGTCCAATCTTCTCATTTTACAAATAAAGAAGCTGAGGTATAGGCAGATCGGTTTGCCCAAAGTCATTTGTAGGTAGTAAGTGACAGAACCAAGCTTTCAGAAGTAGCCGCAGCAAGGAGGCACCAAGCCAGTTGAGGGCTTGCCAGGGTTAGGGATATGTTTTGGAATGGGGCATCAGGCAAGCACAGCCCTGGGTAAATGTGGCCCTGAAAGCAATGGGTTGATGCCCTCTTAGCCAAGCAAGAATGGCCCTCAAATCTACAGGTTTTATCCTGTATCCAAATTTTGAAGTAAAATAAACAAAAACAAGGGGAAAACAACAAACCACGGAGGCAGCTGCCTTTTTTCCCCAAGTTGAGCTTCCCAGGACTTTGTTTGCTCAGTGATGCTTCAGCAACAAATTCGGAGCTAGGCTCTCCATTTGCCTGAAATATCCCAATTTTACTTTCAGCATTTTGACTCAAAAACGAATAGCAAAAACATGCGTGACTGTGAATTACATTTGCTCAAGGTTCTTGAAAAGCATAACGAGGGGAAAGATTAAAGAACAGAGAAGAGCCTTGAGAGGGCCTCGTCTTTCTACCTTCAGCTCAAGGCTGGGAAGTCCAGGTCCAGAAGATCAGGCCTGGTCAGCTCCCCCTTCATGGGGCGGGAGCTTCCAAAGGACAGGCAACACCTCAAACCCTTTAAGTTGATTTAGTAGGTAGGTCAGGAAGAGGACAGGTTCAGCAAGAGACCACAGCTGTTCCCGCTTCTCCTCTAGCTGCCTCTTTGGAATGCTGATAAGACCTTTCTAAAACCTCTCTTACAGTGGTTTAATGGAAAATACAACAGATTTGGAGTCAGGCCCTGGGAGAAGTGGGTGGATGCCCTCTCTCTTACCAATCAAGCAGGGGTGGTCCCTAAATCTGCAGAAAATCCAAATTTAAAAATGGAATAAATAAAAAGGAGAAAACAAAAAAGAAATCCGTGTTCACATCCCACATGTACCATTTTCTATCTGTAGGTCCCTGAGGAGAAAAAATACTCAAGACCTAAGGGTTCCTCTATGGAAAGTAAGAGATTGGTATGAGTTTCTACTTCGCACTGATCAGATTGGCAAAGATGGCAAAAAAGGAAAATGGCCAATGTTCATGAAGCTGTGCCACTAAGACCCTGTTGGTAGGGCTCTGAATTGTTACAGCCATTCTGGAGAGCAATCCAGAACTCCCCCTAAGTCACTATACCGCCTCTGCCCTTTGACCCCACAGTACCTTTACTAGGCTTACATCCCAAAGAGATAAAAGGAATAGGGAATGGAGCCATAGGTAGAAAAACATTGATAGCAGCTCTTTTGGGGGCAGCAAAAAAGTGGAAAGAGAGTGTCTGTCAATTGGGAAAGAGCTAAATGAAGTATGGTATATGAGTGTGATGGAATAGATTGAACCATGGTAGAATGAGGATACTGAGAAAAACCTGGGAAAACGTGTATGAACTTAAGTGGAGTGAAGTGAGAAGGACCAGAAGAAACCAATATAGATACAAATAAGTCAATGGAAATATAAGGTGCATGGGGGAAATTGGGGGAGGACACTGGAACCTAGGGGGTGGAATAAATAAAAAAATACAAACAAAGTACAAAGGTGTTTCAGAAGGTGGCTGAAGTGGTCAGGAGGGCACTAGAACTTCAGGGTCTCAAGAGAGGCCTCAGGTAGGAGACATTGTACAAGCTGATCCTGGAAAGAAGTTAGTCATTCCAAGAAGTATTATAGTAGGGAGAGAAAAAGAATTCCAGGCATGAAGTACAGCCTGGGCAAATATACAGAGGTCGAAGAACACAGGCAGGGAGATTTCTCTCTCCCAGATCCCTAAGGGATGAAGTTCTCCAAAAAGGGATGAAACTCTACGGGCATGGTCCTAGTGATATGTTTATCGTCATCAGTCTGATAGACATCCTGCCTCCTAGGTAAATCATCCCAAAGTGACCGCCACAGAACATACAACTGCCTTCTGCATGCTTCCACGTACAAAAATTCCATGTAAAATCTTGGGGAGTCTGTGCATCAGATGACAGGCGCTGTTGCATTGTGTGATGCAACAGAGGGAAATGTTGAATTTACTAATTAAGTTTCTTGGGGGTCATTTTGGCACACTGGATACAGCACTGGGTTGGAGTCAGGAAGAGCTGATTTCCAACACATCCTCAAACACTTATTAGCTCTGGGATTCCGGGAGAGCTTTTGAATCTCC